TTTTCATCATACTAGCTGCCATTTATTGAAGTCCACTACAGGCAAAACTTGCTTGATAAGTTAATTAATATGTTGTTAAGGCTTAGAGGTAACCTTAACAATGTATTAATTACATGGATATTGTCCTATGAAGGTGAATCTAAAGTAATACTATTTCTTCATTCATTCATTCAGCCAAATATTCTAATATTCCCAAATCCTAGACTCATTAGCTTACCATAATGTTCACTAAGATATATGCCAGTTTTCTTAGTTAATTGAAAGTGTAGGTTTTTGAGGCTAATATTTAAAATAGAGTCCAGGGTGTTTTAGATATACCTATTTTAATCACTAGGATTGAGGTTTTTTACTCTTTATCAGCTTGAACAAAGGGTACCTTTAATAACAATGTTTTTCCTTTGATTCTAAGGAAATTATTGTCTATGGTCACATTGCCCAATAGTGATATAATGTGAGCCACTATGCAATTTAAAATTTTTCTAGTAATCACATAAAAATAACAAGTTGAAACTAATTTTATACATTTTATTTAAAAAAAAAAAAAAAAAGAAAGAAACAAAGAAAGCTGAGCTAGACCAAAATCTAGGCTCCCTATGCTAAACAGCCAAATTGTGAATACAAAGGAAAAGTACTTGAAAGAGATTAGGAGTGCTATTCCAGTAAACACACAGAAGATAAGAAACAAAAACAGCTTGATTACTGATATGGAAAGAGTTCTAATGATCTACATAAAAGGTCAAACTAGCTGCAATATGCCCTTAAGCCAAAACCTAATCTAAGGCAAAGACCCATTTCTTTCCCATTCTATGAAGGTTGAGGGAGATGAATAAAGCTACAGAAGAAAAGTTGGAAGCTAGCAGAGGTTGGTTCATAGGATTTTTTAAAAAATAAGCAGTCTCAAGAACATGAAAGGACAAGGTGAAGCAGCAAGCATGTTCACAGCGCTTTCACTAGGAGTAGGTTTCATTGCAAGGAACCACTTTCTTTGCTCATCCATAAGAAGCAACTTTCATCTGTTTAATTTTTTTAATGAGATTGCAGCAAATCAGTCACATCATTAGCCTCCATTTGTAATTTTACTCCTCTTTGTTATTTCCACATCTGCAGTTACTTCCTCCGGTGAAATCTTAAACCCCTCAGTGTCATTCATGAGGGTTGAAATAAATTTCTTCCAAACTCCTGGTAACACTGATAATGCATATAAAAATATGCAGTTTCTATATAAATATTTCCAGTTATCCAGAAGATCTAGCTAAGATAATTGATGGGGGCTACACTAAGCAAAAATTTTCAATGTAGACAAAACAGCATTCTATTTAAAGAAGTTGCCATCTAAGACTTTCATTGTTATAGTGATGTCAATGCCTGGCTTAAAAGCTTCAAAGGACAAGCTGATATTCTTGGCAGGGGATAATACAGCTGGTGACTTTAAGTTGAAGCCAACATTCATTTACCATTAACAAAAATCCTACGGTCATTAAGAATTATGATAAAACTATTCTGTCTGTGTTCCATAAATGGAACAAAGCACAAATGACAGTACATCTGTTTGCAGCATGGTTTACTATTATGAGCCCATTGTTGAGATCTACTATGCAAAAAAGGAGTCCTTTCAAAATATTATTGCTTATTGACAATGCATCCAGTCACCCAAGAACTCTGATGGAGAAGTACAAAAAGATTGATGTTGTTTCCATGCTTGCTAACACAACACTCATTCTGTAATCCTTGGATCAAGGAGTAATTTTGGATTTCAAGCCTCATTATTTAAGAACTACATTAATACTTTGTAAGGATACTGCTGCCATAGTGATCCCTCCAATGGAGCTGGGCAAAGTAAACAGAAAACTTGCTGGAAAGGATTTACCATTTTTGGTCCCATGAAGATCATTTGTGACTCATGGGAGGAGGCCAATATATTAACATTATGAGGAGTTTAAAAGAAGTTTATTTCAACCCTCATGAATGACACCAAGGGGTTTAAGACCTCAGTGGAGAAAGTAACTGCAGATGTGGTGGAAACAGCAAGATAAGTAGAATTACAAGTGGAGCCTGATGATGTGACTGAATTGCTGCACTCTCATAAGAAAATGTGAACAGATGAAGAGTTGCTTCTTAAGGATAATCAAAGAAAGTGGTTCCTTCACATGAAATCTGCCCCTAGTGAAGATACTGTGAACATTGTTGAAATGGCCACAAAGGAGTTATTAAACCATTACATATGCTTAGTAATAAAGCAGTGGCAACATTTGCGTGGGTTAACAACCATTCTGAAAGAAGTTCTACTGTGAGTAAAATGCTATCAAACAGCAGCACATGCTACAGAAAAATCTCTAGTGGAAGGAAGAGTCAATCAGTATGGCGAACTTCATTGCTGTCTTATTTTAAGAAATTACCACAGCCACCCCAGCCTTCTGCAATCACCATCCTGATCAGTCAGCAGCCATCAACATCAAGGCAAGACCTTTTTCCAGCAAAAAGATTTATGACTCACTGAAGATTCAGATGATTGTCTGCATTTTTAGCAATATTTAAAAATTAAGTTATATACTTTTTTTAAGACATAACAGTATGGAACATGTGATGACAGTATAGTATAATCATAAGTTTTACATGTAGAGAATACAAGAAAATTCACGTGAGTCATTTTCTTGTAATACTAGCTTTGTTGTGATGCTCTGGAAATGAACTCGCAGTATCTCTGAAGTATACCTGTATATGAATTCACTACATCAAAAGATGAGGTGGAAAAAACACAGATGGCATGTTCAATAGATCCAGAAAAGTCGTTTCATATCATTCAAAACTCACTTATGAGAAGAAAAAAAAATCTGAAAATTAAGAAGAGGAAATTTAAAGCGAGAATATTTACATGGAAATATTCCATGAAGTCCTTTTTGAATCAGAAATAAGACAGACAAGCTCAGCATCACATTGTTGTGGAGGTCCCAAAAAACAGAGCTAGTAAAAGCTGCCAAGAATTTCAGCCACTAGTTATAGTTTCAACGGTCATAGTTCCAACTACTATGGTTCCTAACCAAAATCTGGTAAAGTACAAAGACGGGAATCCAGGATAACTATCTCAGACTTAGGTGGAGATGTCCTTCACTGACACTTTCATTTTTCCAGATTATATCCCAGAGTTGAGAGTAATTCAGCATTAGAGGACATGAATCCCCAATGGTTATATCAAAATATAGTTAAAACCTGTGCAGGAATCTTCCAAACAAAACCACTTCAACAGCTACAGTTTGCAGCCAGAAGAGGTGACTGAGTAAAAGATGGAGTTCAACTGCATCAGTTGCAGTATTTTCTCCTATCCCTACTCCCTCAATCTTTTATAAGGAAGGGTCAAGTGAACCAGCAGTAGGGTGTTAGGCCAGGATGGTGGTCTGTGGCGAGAGGGTAGATCTAATTCCTTGACTGAATCCTGGCCCAGCCTGTCCAGCGTCTCAGCTGGCATTAGGTTGCAGCCAGTACTGTGGGGATTGGGAGGCCAGTGCTCTACAACACGCATAGCTGGGCTGACCCGGGTTTCTAAAGTCCCATGCCAGATGCACTGGAGTGGCATGATTCATGCCCTGTGCCTCTGGGAGGGTGCTGCCTGCAGTGACCCCTTCAATCCTCTACTGGGCCAGACCCGCCCAGGATGATTTGTGGAAGCCGGGATCCTGCTGCCAGCGTGGCAGGATGCACACCTGGGCTTGGGTCTGGCAGGTACCTGATGCTCTGAGCAGCAGGAGGCCACGATGATGTCTTCTGGCCAGTAGAAGTAGCAGCCATCTGCGCCTTGCAGGCCGAATTGGCGGCGCGAGGCCCTGCGTGCCGGCGGCCATCTTGAAGCATTCCTGCCTCGAGCCCGAAAGTGCTTCTGGGAACATGGCGGCCGCCACTGAGGGTGAGTGAGCTGGAGCTTCTGTTTGTGAGTTCCTTGAACACTTGGGGCCTTGACTTCCAGGAAGAGCCTCTTCAACTTTTTATCGCTCTCTCCTTTTTTTTTTTTTGGTCTTTGAGACGAAGTCTCACTTTGCGGCTCACTGCGATCTCCGCCGCCCGGGTTCCAGCGATTCTCCTGCCCCAGCCTCCCAAGGAGCTGGGACCACTGGCAGGCACCACCCCACCCAGCCAGTGTTCGTATTTTTGGTAGAGACGGGGTTTCGCCACGTTGGCCAGGCTGGTCTTCCAAGTCCTGACCCTGTGCTCCGCCCTCCTCGGCCTCCCAAAGTGCTGGAAGCCACCGCCCCTCCCCTCTTTTTCACTTTTCTATTGAACTTGACAGCAGTCCCCCTCGGTCATAGTTTCGTTTTGGGAGGATTCAGTCACTTGCTGCCAACCCCAGTCTGAAAATAGGTAAGAGGCACTACATGAGCATAACTATTATTTATAGTATATTGTTATAATTGTTCTACCTTGTTAGTCATTGTTAATCTCATCTTAACTGGGCCTAATTTATACATTAAACTTTATCATAAATATGTATATATAGGAAGAAACATAATGTATACAGGGTTCAATACTATCTGCCATTCTGGCATCCACTGGGGGTCTTGGAACATATCCCCCATGGACAAGGGGGACTACAGTGTTTGGTTTTTGTTGTTTGTTCTGGTAGGGCATTGTAATAAATTCTGGATGCTAATCCTTTGTCACAGATGTTGTGAATACCTCTGGATTATCTTGTGTTTTCACTCCATAGTTTCTCGAATGCACATAAGATTCTAATTTTAATGTCAAGTTTAGTGCTTTTTGTCTTTATGATTATTGCTTTCTGAATCCTGTTTATCTTTAATTACTCCAAAGTCATAAAGGCTTCATTTCTAATTTGTGTCCTAAATGATTTATAGTTTTTCTTTTCACATATAGAGCTTTATTTGGAACTAATTTCTTTGCAGAATATAAAATATGGACTAGGCATCCATAGTCTACAAAAAAGAAAAACTTTTTAAAAATTTTCTCGAGAAAGGAGTTGGAAGAGGTCACAGGAGGCCCTCAACGCCACCATGCCCAAGAATAAAGGTAAAGGCGGGAAAAACAGGCGCAGGGGTAAGAATGAGAATGAATCTGAAAAAAGAGAGTTGGTGTTTAAAGAGGACGGACAGGAGTATGCTCAGGTCATCAAAATGTTGGGAAATGGACGATTGGAAGCATTGTGTTTTGATGGTGTAAAGAGGTTATGCCATATCAGAGGGAAATTGAGAAAAAAGGTTTGGATAAATACTTCAGACATTTTATTGGTTGGTCTACGAGACTATCAGGATAACAAAGCTGATGTAATTTTAAAGTACAATGCAGACGAAGCTAGAAGTCTGAAGGCATATGGCGAGCTTCCAGAACATGCTAAAATCAATGAAACAGACACATTTGGTCCTGGAGATGAGGATGAAATCCAGTTTGATGATATTGGAGATGATGATGAAGACATTGACAATCTCTAAACTGAACTGAGTGACTTTACATTTGAAGTTTTCTGAGGATTGTTCTACAGTTGGGATTTTGACTATCACCAGTTAAGAAGAGAAATTCGTTTCATTTATAGTTTGTTAAAGCAAACTGATCTGTTTTCATTGTTTTAAAGTATTTATTTCTGTAAAAGCTGATGACACTGAATAATCTTAAATGTTTAATACTTTATTGTTTTGATGTAATGGAACTTAGAGATAAAAGATCATATTTGCTGTAAAAACAAATAAACGAATGCCTTTTCTGCTGTGATAACTTTACTTCAAGTAATTGGATATTTTGAATACATTTCTGCTTTGTAATCATCATAAGTTATATTAAGTCCTACTTCCAGTTAATCTATTTACTCTACAGTCTTTCTGTATGTTTCAGCTACTTAGATGTTCTCCTAAAGTTTCTGATACAATTTAAAGAAGACAAATCTATATTTGGAATCAGAAAAAAAATGGACTTTTTAAAACATTTATGTAGCCACATGTATTTTTATACTAACATTGATGCCTTATAAATTCTTTTGTCATGTGTGCCTCCTGTTATTAAGGGAAAAAAGAAGCATTTCCAATGTGCAGTTTTTAAAGTGTAGCAACTTTGAGTAGCAATTTAGAATGTTTAACAGTTGCAGAAATTGAACCCTAAATGGCAACCAATTATCTTAACATTGGAAATACTGCTATGCCATTTTGTTTTCAAAAGTAATTCATTGCAACCCACAGTCTTTGAAACAAGTAAATTTCAATGTATAAATGAAAAACTAATTTTATAGTACATTCTATAAACAGCTTTTCTCACATTGTCCCTAAACTGCCAGAGGAGGAGGCAACCATACTGTATGGGAAGATAGTTTCAAGCTGGGTGTGGTGGCTCACACCTGTAATCCTAGCACTGTGGGAGGCCAAGGTAGGCAGATCACCTAAGTTCAGGTGTTCAACACCAGCCTGACCAACGTGGTAAAATGGTATCTTTACTACAAATACAAAAATTAATGGGTCATGCCAGTATCCCAGCTACTCAGGAAGCTAAGGCAGCAGAACTGCTTGAACCTGGAAGGTAGAGGTTGCAGTGAACCGAGATCTCGCCACTGAACTCCAACTTGGGTGACAGAGCAGGACTTCCTCTCAAAATCTGAATGGAAGAGCTACAACAATCCATGTAATAATAAAGAGTAATGTTCAGTGTATTTTCGCATAACTTCGTGGTGTTAGTGTATTTCATTATGGGTACTGATTTTTTTTTTAATACATACCAGTAAGATTTTATATTGCAATTTGCACTTTTAAAGTTTTCTTCTTAAAGTTATAAAGTGAAAATAAAGGCTGGACTAGTTAGAAAAAAATTTTTTCTCCATATAATCAATTGTCCTAATACTTTTTATTGAAAAGATCATCTTTTTCTCTACACTTGTATTATCAGCTCTCAGATTAATCAAGTTTCATTTCTATGTCTCTGAAATCAAGTTTTATGTCTGTGCATCTGACTCTGGGCTCATGCTCCAATATCAACTATGTTCACTACTACAGCCTTACAGTAAGTTTTTATATTTGACAAGGCAGGGTCTTCTATCAAATTCTTATTTTTAGGCCTATCTTGATTACTTTGCTTTCTTGTCCTTATATAAAAATTTTATGTCAGTTTGTCAGTTCCCCACTAACCTGATACACACACAGACACAAACCTGTTGAGAATTTTATTAGAATTGAAAGAAAAAAAAATAAAATCCTTATTCTCAATTAATAAGGAAAAAATGACTCCCTATTTTTCCTAACCTAAGATCCATTATGCCCAATGGGATAGAACTTTTAAAACTTTTTGATTCGCTTTTCCATGTCTATAAACAGGTCTTTATAATGCACTCAGGTTGCTATAACTTGAAAGACTACAATCAAACAAAATATACAGTGATCCAATTTGAAAACAAAGGGCTTTCATATTCTGCCTACACTTGGCAATTTCTCTACTTCTGTCAGGTTGGGTCTATAAATATATTATCTGTTTGATTAGAGGCGAATTTCTTTCAGTTTGCTCACTCCAAGAAAACTCTTCATACTTATATTTTGCAGTGTTGTTTTTAATGCTTTTAAATTTTGTGTGTATCTATGTAGGACATGACTAGCAATAGATTAAGCATTTTATGTTGAGTCATTTTATGCTTACAAATAATCCTATCAGATGGATACTATTATCTACATTTACAGCTGCAGAAACTGACTCCTGGAGACATAAAGTAACTTACCCAAAGACAGCTAGGAAATGCCAAGGCTTGGATTCAAACCCAAATTTTTACTAACTTTAATGTAGGTAGAATAAATCTTTGCCAAATGTATAAAAAATGGTAATCAAACTCAGATTAGGAAGAGACCAAAGTAGCTACTGTTTAAGTTATTAAAGATGTATGGTATTAATTGAGATTTTATTTACTTAAATCATTCATTGTTGATAGCTCTAGTCTACACCAGACTTTGTGTTCTCCGCTCTGGAATTATTCCATTGTGCTGTGGCTAGATCTATGCTTTGTTTCTCTTGCCAAGAACCTCAGCTAGTCCGAGAAGCCTCACATACTAGTCTGTAACTATATTAAAACTGCTGCAAATAACTGCTGGGCAGACTGACTCTTATATCATTCACACCAGAAGTTAAGTGGCAATGTGCCATCACAATTTCTTTCTGATTTGAAAGCTATGAAATTTGCTCTGGCACCCTTTTGACAATGTGAAAAATAAAAAATCCCTCTCTGACACATACACACAAATACATAAACTTCTTTGTGATCTTTCTTGGTTTAAAATATGATTCTAATTACAGTGAAACTTCGTCTACCTGGCCCAGTAAGAAAATAATTCAAGCCAGTTAGTTCACTTCCCCTTTTGTGTACAAATCATACAAAGCAAAATGGCGCGATCTCGGCTCATTGCAGCATCCACCTCCTGGGCTCAAGTAATTCTCCTGACTCAGCCTTCCGAGTAGCTGGGATTACAGGTGCACGTCACCGCACCTGCCTAATTTTTGTATTTTTGGTAGAGACAGGATTTTGCCATGTTGGCCAGACTGGTCTCAAACTCCTGACCTCCTGATCCTCCAACCTCAGCCTCCCAAAGTGCTGGGATTACAGACATGGGCCACTGCGCCCATCTGATATTGATGTTTTATCTTATTATATCTCATCTGTGTAGTCACTACGTGTTCAGATGTGCTTATTTTTAGTGATTCATTTATTTCCCTCTAAATTGGTAACTTTTCACATGTAAAGATTTCAGATACCAACTTACAAACTAGTTAAGATTGTTTATAAATTAATTGTCAACAGATTGATAATAATAACATGCCCACCCCTTCTTTCCCAGCTCTCATACGGCACATAATGAGTATTTGGATTTGGCCCAAAGAGATGAGGTTGCAGGATAATTTAATTTAGTTTGATTAAATTTCACATAATTCAGTTCCTTTCAACAAACTTTTACAGACATCTGTGCCTAATCTCATACTCCCCAAACCTGGGTCCTTATTCTTTGCTCCACAAGCAGATCCTGAGACAGGCTTTGAGTGCCATCACCTATAGGGAAGTGGAAAATTCAGACAGAGAGGAAGCAGTAGAGGTGGTCATCATGAGCAGATGGATTATCATTATAGACAATGGGTCAGTGCCACCCAAGCCCTCAAGAACACTGTTTGGAAGACCCTTCAGTGTTCTTCCACCTGAAAGGAGCAAAAGCTAATGTGTAATTATACATCAGCCTCTGGAACACACACACACACACACACACACACACACACACACACACAAATGTACAGTGTTGGTTGAGGGCTAGTTCTAGAAATGCTAATTCACAGCTACCTATATGCACAGCCCAAGGATGGGGACACAAAAATAGTCAAAGATATTTGTAAAATGAAGTTCTTAGAATGTGGGGAGCACCTGTATTATCCACCACAACCTCCTTCAACTGCACAAGGAAAACATCTAGCGATTCTCTGGGGCTGTTCTTGTTGCTTGTGCCAGCTGCCTTAAATAAAGCCAATATTCTATAAGCACCTGCTGAACACAAAATCTATACTAGGCACTCTGGGAAAGACAAATATTGAAGATACAAAGACATAGTCCCTGCACATCAAAGGGATTAGAAAATGAGCTTTTCTGATTCTGCAATCTGGTGGCTGAGTTCTACACACACTCTCTAAACTGAAAAAAAAGCTAGATTACAGATTTTTGAAAGTACCACATGTATACCACATATTATATATTTCTCAGTACATATCAGAATACATGTTTTCCTCTGAAAAATCGACATTTCTGTGAGTTAAAAATGTGTGCCTTCGTCATTCTGGTCAAACTTAAATGTCTAGCCACAGAAAATGGAAAACGGAACAAAAGGAGGAGAGTTTTGTTTATACTTTGAATAGCATGGAAATATTTTCCAATGATTGAAAATTAACATTTACAAATTGAGTAGAATATACTTTATTCATGCACAATAGTGCATTTGTTAACAGTGACATATTTATCTGGCCTTTCCCAGTCCTAGGAAAAAATTATGTCAATTTTCCCTCAGACTGCCTTCCTATTCTGTCACACAAATTATTTCATGAAACATGAATCCAAATGTTCTGTTCTTTTTCAATTTCCTTTCACCACAAATTCCAGAGTTCTACACTTCATGGCTTTTCAGTAACAATTCAGTCTTTTTATTCTAATGGCAAAACTGAAATACTGCTGTCTTTAATCAAGCTACTTTTGACATGTCTTCAATAGGGAAGATTCAGCCTTTTGTGTTAAAAGAAAACTTTAAAAAAATAATTACAATGATTTTAAATGATTTTTTTAATCAATGCATTTTCAGCTCTTGGGACACTCTTCACTACATTTTCCCATCATTTTTGCAATGCTTTTGCTCCTTATTGTTAATGACAAACAATCTATAAATACAGAAATGGTCATATTTTAAGGATTTCTCATTGGACAAGCAAATACCTGTAACATAAC